TTTGTTGATTTGGATGTATGGAACTTCATAAAAAGCCATATCAATTTATCGTGTGAAGAAGATAATAGTAATCAGCTTCTTTTTCTTGACATTTTTTTCAACTATAGGGGAATGCAGTCGGTAAAAAAATCAGTGTATAGGAAATCTACATGGACGAGACTCCACCTAAACTTTCATAGTTTCTGTCTAACGCAGTAAAAACGAGGTTTAGTGAAATGCGTATTCAAAAGGAACCAACGTATCTGTACAACAGATACATTGGAAGAGGTAATCAATTTCTCAACAGGGCGCTCATGAAAAACGGATATCCCTTGAAGTTGATCAGTCGTTAAAAAAACGTTTCAATAATGTGAACTACTCAGTATTCTATCTCGAGAAAGGACGTTTACATCATGCTACCGTATAAGTGAGAATCAGAGAGTATGATCTTAAGACGAATGCATAATGCGGGTATTAAAAGCAGCATAATATTTAGCCAAGCTCAGTATGATTGGGAAAAAGAAACCTATGCTTCAAAACAAACCTCATCACTACATAGAGAATTGTATTACACCCCTTTGTATTTGCCAAGTTACATGTGTATGCGGAAAGATTAGTCGAACTATGAATTTGAGGGTAACCACGCCTGGTTAACTAGTTCACTAGTTACTAGCCGGTCCTAAGCCCGGGTAAAGAGGGAAGGTTGGGCATAGGGCTAGCAACCCTACTCCGTAAAACAAATCTAACCGCTAAAGAAACTTCAAAGCACAAACAAAATATAAAAAATGAAAACAAACTTATTCCCCGCTGGAATCGGAGAGGCGAAATGACGCCAGTTGGTGAAAGCCTTCGGGAAGTCAATTGGCCGATGTGTCTTCTCTCCTCTCGATGAAACCGAAAGTTAACATAGGGACAAGGATTCTCTGCACAATGTTTGAACCTAGCAAGGCAGCCCAGATTGCAAAAGAGACAGAAAGATATGTCGTGGAAGTGTTTGGAATTTGTGAAAGCAGATGGAATGGAAGTGGACTCTCCAAACTGTCAACTGGAGAGGAGTCAATAATCTACTCCGAAACTGTCACCCAGACGACAACCACGAGCACATTGAGTTCTCGAGTGGCTATCATGATGTCCCCTTGAAGAGCATCGAAGGCTTTCTCTCATGTAGTGGGAACCAATCTCCTCAACGATCAGGATCATGACAGCAAGATTCAAGTCAAAAGGAAGAAAGGTCACAATCATACAATGCTACACTATGCACCTACAAATAATGCAGATGAAGAGAAAAAGGAGGAATTCTACAGACAACTTCAATCAACACTGGACAAGACCGCATCTTAGTTGGCGATATCAAAATTCTAATGGGCGACATGAATGCCAAACTGGGAACAGACAACACAGGAAGAGAACTAACCATGGGTCGAGAGGCGCTAGGTGAAATGAATGAGAATGGAGAATTGTTTGCAGAATCCTGCGCATTCAACGGTTTGGTGATTGGAGTCAGGCAGTGTGTTCAGGCACAAAGATATCCACAAAGCGACATGGATTTCACCAGATGGACACACTAAAAATCAAATCGACTTTATCTCAATCTCAAGAAAATGGAGACGCAGTCTACTTAACACAAGGTCAAGAAGAGGAGCAGATGTAGGTTCACACTACTCACTATCTAGTGCAAGGAACCCACCTTCGAAATCAAGTTGAAAGCCTTCAAGGAAGCTGATGATAGACCACAGTTCAAGTAGAACACTTGGAAACTGAAGGATGAAACTACAAAGGAGATCTTCACGTCAGCCATCAAGACAAAATGTGAGATATCGAGGAACATGCCTGAAGAAACCTGTGTGGAAGAACACTGGAAGTCTTTGAAAGCTATGTGGAAAGAAACCTGCACAACAGTATTAGGAAGGAAGAAGAAAGAAGACAAAGAGTGGAATGGATCTCGACGGATACCTGGAAGCTGATAGAGGAGAGGAGGATGGTGAAGCAGAAGATAAACCAGTGCAAGGATGCTCAACGACAAGAGGAACTGAGCACAATGTATAAAACACTGGATAAAGAAGTGAAGGAGAGTGCACGCAAAGACAAAAGATACTTCTACGAAACACTGGCAAGTGAAGCAGAACAGGCTGCAGGTGGGAGAGATAGAGACCTGACGACATTGTATCAAATAACCAGGTTGCTATCTGGGAAGAGACCAACACAGATGAAACCAATAAAAGATGAAGAAGGAAATTTAATTACGAAAGAAGAGAAACAGAGGAAACGATGGGCCGACCACTTCAAGAAGCTCTTGAATCGACCACCACCTGCACTTCGTCCAGAAATACCACCTGCAGCCGCTGAATTACAAGTGAACATAAATCCCCCAACGAAAATGGAAGTCGTGAACGCCATAAAGCTACTGAAATGCGGGAAAGCAGCAGGACCAGATGGAATATCGCCAGAAGCACTGAGAACAGATGCAGAGACAACAGCGGACATGCTCACACCACACCACTATTGCAGAAGGTGTGGAAGGAAGAGAAGGTACCTGCCCATTGATTGGAAGAAGGGTTACCTTGTCAAACTGCCGAAGAAGGGAGACCTCAGTGTTTGCAAGAACTGGCGCGGAATCACTCTCCTGTCCACCCCAAGTAAAATACTAAGCCGCATCATCCTGGAGAGGCTTAAAGATGCACTGGATTCAAAACTGCGACCGGAACAGGCAGGCTTCAGGAAGTACAAATCATGTGCCGACCAAATTGCCACCCCACACTACGCATCATCATAGAAGAGAGTATAGAATGGCAATCAGCTCTCTACCTCAACTTTATCGACTTTGAGAAGGCCTTTGACAGCGTCGACAGAGAAGTAATTTGGAAGCTGCTTCACTACTACGGAGTACCGCAAACCTTTATCTGCCTCATTCAACAACTATATGAAGACGCCACATGCCAAGTAATTCACAATGGGAAGCTCAGCTCAGTGATGCTTTTGAAGTGAAGACAGGAGTGAAACAAGGTTGCCTACTATCCCCCATGATATTCCTTATTGTGGTGGACTGGATCATGCAGCAAACAGTAGGCAGCGAGAAGAGGGGGATACACTGGACGGCGGAAAAGAGCCTAGAAGACTTGGATTTCGCCAGCGATGACTTGTGCCTAATGTCACATAAACTTGAAGATCTACAGGCAAAAACTAACAAGTTGATAGAAGAGGCAGCGAAGACGGGTCTTCAAGTGAATATAGAGAAGACAGAGGTGATGAAGATACCGCACCACCACCATCAACAACAACAACAACAAACTCCAGTCACCGTCAACGGGAGAAACTTGAAGGAAGTAACCTCCTTCACTTATCTAGGAAGCACTGTTTCAACTACAGGCGGCACAGGCACAGACGAGGATGTCAAAGTCAGAATCGGAAAGACAGCAAGACAGGCGTTCATTAGCCTGAAACCAGTGTGGAGATCTACTACACTGCACTCAGCATGTGGAACAACATCCGGATTTTGAACACCAACGTCAAGTCAGTGCTCTTGTATGGCTCAGAGACTTGGCGCGTCACGAAAGGTATTTCCAATAAACTACAGACATTCATCAACAACTGCTTACGCTGGCTCGATACTGAAGATCAGATGGATTGCCAGAAAGAATAAGCAACAAGGAGCTCTGAGAACGAACCAACTAAGAACCTATCACCCAACAAATATGCAGGAGGAAGTGTAGATGGATTGGCCATGTACTGAGAAGGCCGACTGGGGACATCACGCATCAGGCCAGTTACTCGAGTGGAATCCCCATGGGAAGCGACGAGTTGGACGTCGGTGTCGAGGGTGACATGGAGGAGATCGTGCGAGGAGGAAATGAGAGCTTCTGGGCTGTCTTGGAGCCAGGTTCAAAAGATCTCAGAGAACAGAGGTCACTGGAGACGTGCTACTGAAGCCCTATGTTCCACTAGGAACCCAAGGGACTAATACTACTACTACTAATAATAATAATAGTGAATTTGAGGTGGTGGGACATTTTCACCTGATGTCTGAAAGACAATTATGTTCTAATAGGTCAATAAATACTGGTGCCAGACAGACATCCTCGTCTTTAGTTAAACACATTATGGAAACAGGTCACAGAGTTCACCACAAAACAGCCATCATAACTGTATACTTAGGTTGATATAAGCTTTATCCCACCCCTGCCCCGCCATCCTTTGTATATTTAAGAACAATCTGTTCTTCCCTTAAACTACTATGATAATCTTTATCTCATTTTAATGTCAAGGAAGGTGTGAAAATGTAATATTCTTCTCTGTTTTCACACCGTTACCTTTGTGGTATGATTCGTGTTTCATGTTGTCCCACATCAGTATTGAGGAAGTCAAGTATGGGATTTGAAGGAGAAGATGGAAGTCGGTTAGTGTGGTAGTGAAAATTGACTGACTAGGAGACGTGTGACGTATGCCCAGTCACTATCTACCTCGTTACAGTATGTTAACTGAAGTAGGTTTACGATGAGAAAAGAGTTAAAGCTGATCAGACTAAAAAGTATCGGACCATTACGTAAAGTCTTTGGGGCGTGTATGGAATTTGCATGACAACAGAAACCAGCGGTGGTTAGAGAGTGTTGCTAGGTGATATGGCTTAGAGTCGATCTTAATGGTGCAGGTATATGCACACATTGCCTTCATCATAATCGTTATACTGAATTCAGAGTCTCTTCATTCCTTCTTCCTCTCTCTTACTACTCTTGATTGATTCTTCTTTATTTCCTCGATTTTCGTCTTATTGCTTTTTTACGTCATCTGCTTGTGGTCGGAGATGTGGCAACTTGAAGCGTGTTTCATAGCAAAGTCGCATGCTTTGTTGATGGTGATGAGGGCTGTCGATCGACTGCCTACAACAATCAAACTGCAGTGAATACATTAGGGTTAGTTAGATAAGATGATATTTGCTCACTTGATGGTAGTGATTAATCGAATGTAAACTTTTGCTTTCTCTCTTTTCTCTTCATTGTTATATGAATGAACAAATGAATGTCTAGGTTTGTCGATTAGCCTATGAATTAATGCAATCGAATTATTTGGAATTTGGTGATGCAAGTCAACAATTTCATTCATTAGATGATATTTACTATTTTGGTGGTCAACAATCATCCCCATATGAAGTGATTATACCAGATGATGAAAATAATTTACAACTTGGTGAATTAGTCCACTTTTATGGAAATCATTGGAATGGTTATTCTAAAGTGGAAAAATTGAATTCAAATCGTAGGATAATTGCACCAGCGTTTAAATTCTCCCCAAGGATAATAACCGCCAATATGACTGGTGCACATTGAGACAGATAGAATGTATAGAGAAGAAGCAGAAGATATGACTGTTTACAAATACTTTACTGTATCTTTCTGTCGTCTATCCTTACTTGTAGAATGGAAATTGTTTTTCTTCTTTTGATACACAATTGTTGTTTTTATTTTATATTTTACATGCTATCTGATTCAGACATACATGGTTTGCTTTGTTGAATTGTAAAACTGAAGTCGACAGTAGTCCCCTTTCCTCTGACTGCCTCGTTTTTCTCACAGAATACACGTGTGTGTGTGTGTGAGAGAGAGAGGATAACATGAAGAAAGGGTGATTGTGTACTGCCTTGTCCTTTGATTTAATGACAGAATAAGTGAGTCTTGTGTACATTTCTTCTGCATCTGAATTCGAGAATCATGTACATGTGTTGTAGATGGATTAATTGTTTCGATGAAATTCCTTTGTCTTACATTAAACTTATACACATGAACCCACCATAGAAAGAAGTTTTAACTTAATCAATGACTGTTTTTATCCTCATTTATTTGTTAACTTGTATGTGATTGGTCATTGCTCATTTTATTGGCACTATTATTACCTTGGATGAGAACAATTTGGTTCTGTTGACGGTTGAAGTAGCCGTGACCTTTTGTAAGGATAAGTTGAGCAGTACATAGTGTAGTGTGTGTGTGTGTATGTGTGTGCATGTGTGTATGATAGAAACAATTGAAGTTCTCCTTTTCTATCTTCTCTATCCTTTGTTACTTCAAATTCACTTTTCCAGTTTGTTTTGCATGGTATGGGTTCACGCTTTCATTCCTCTTCTTCTGTTGCTGCTGCCACCTCTACTTTTTAACATGGTGTATATTGTATGTATGAATTTGTTTCGCAGTTTTTTTATTACTATTTTGGTCATTTGTGCAACACATAACACAAGTGCGTCCCATAGGTGTGATTTTCTTATTCATTTAAAAGCATAACACTTCTGCATGGTCAGATTGACCCTTTGCATCGAATCACTGATGGTATCTGTTCTAACTGGATTCGATATATGGGACTGGGCTAGTTTATCTTATTGGTCGCAATATTCATCAATTGCCTATTTTATTTTTATTGATTAAGGATTGTCTCTTTACTTTTCTCTTTTCTCCCCTACGATTTTGTATATTGTGCATTGGTGTTGTTTTGTTTCTTATGGTATGTGTTGTACGCCTTTTCACTTTATCTCTTATAAATCTTTTAATTGTTGGCCTGTTTTTCTTTTCAATAAATTCTTTTCAGCACACAGTGTGATAATATTCTAGTGTATTGTCGATGTGTAACAAGATACTTATAAATATGCATGTCGCCAAAGTAGATATGTATATTAATGATGGATAATAGCTAGCAGTGGAATCTAGGACACGCGTTTCGTCCTGTTTGGGACTCGTCAGTTTGTACGTGTCTCCCAGTGAGCGATGTTATTCCCACTAGTAGTCAAATTGGGAACCGTTAGCTTCAAACGCTAGAGCATTAATCACCAAACGACCGAGGCACAAAACGCGCATCCTCGATTCTACTGCTAGCCACAGTCCGTCATTTAATGTATTATTGAAACACAACATCGGGGCATCGGCGCAGTAGTTCATATACCAACGGGGACCGATCAGTTCTCTCCGGCCAACGACGGCACAATACAAGTGACAACATTTATTGAAATGGTAATAAGCCGTAGAACAAGAATATATTGTTACTGATCTACCTTGAAGATGACATCCCTCTTGTCTTCAGAAAATATGTTTCTGCTTGTCTGACATTGTTAAACTCAAATTAAAATTTACTCTGATGATAGATGATTGTTTTACCGCGCAGTATTATCTTTATAATAAATGACAGACTGACAGGATCAACGTAGAACCTCGCACACAATTTCATCGGTTCAGGTTGCCACACTTCCTTGTAGTTCACAAAGAACTGGTGGATAGATTAAGATTGGTATCAAAATGGAGATTTAGTTGTATGAAAGAATAAACAATTTGAAAATAAAGGTTTGTCCGAATATCGAAGCTTTAGAAGACGTCAAGTAGCGAATTAATTTGCGCCACTGTGACCAATTTTCACCCATGCCACCAGGAGTGAGGAATTTCATGGACTGGTGCCACGTCTTGGTATGAACACTCTTCCAACTTAGCCCAACTTCTTCTAGCATGGTATGTTGAGATGAGCGTATGACTTGGAATGCTCAGTACATGTCCAAGCCATCTCAATCGATGAAGAGGAACTTTAGATGTGCTACGCATGCCTAACCACTACTATATGTCTCATTGTATGACGTTTGTCATAGTAGAGAAGGAAACTAAGAGTAACCAGACCATTCATTCATTGACACTATTCCATGAAGCCTTCGTCTGTCAATTTGTGCTATTTAGACAGGTGGTATCTGACTAGAGTCTTGACTGGTAAACAGTGGTTAAATGACTTATAATCGTTTACAAGGGTGAAGATATTTTTATTCTATATTAGCTAACTGTTGTGTATTTCCATTAACCTGGATTTAATCAATCTACCTACCTACTTGCATACACTTGTCTGCAATGATATCCGTATTTTTCTATCCATTTTCTTTTCGAGGGATTTTTTAGTGATGCACTTATGTGCAAAGTTGTATGTTAGTCAATCTACCTTTTACATGTTCCAAGTGGATTGGTTTTATCCATTTCTCAGATAAATTGTTGACTCGAATCCAATGAATTATAGTGACATTATCATCAGATAGTATTGGTCGAAATCAGTATCGAATATTAATTATATACACTAATTGGTATACGAGAATATTGATTTCTTGTCAAACAGTACTAAATTTAGGTGATGGAATGTATATCGTTTCCTAAGAACCTATTTGTTGAAGCATGCCAGTTGAATAATCGAATCGAAATTGACTCAATAAATATGTGCATTTTCTTTCAGTAGGCAATCGGCAGCACCTATTGTATGGAGGTTAGTGGTACTACCTGACTACACATAGCTCATTGGCTGAAAGTCGAATAATGACTGTTGCCAAACGCTAGCCACTAACCATCTTCAGTATCAAACACTAACTAAGTTGAAATATAAGAACAAAGAAGTGAGTTATTTCGTGTTACCCCTGTGTTAAAATGTGAACAGAAGTATTTGCAGTGACGTTTACTTAACTACAAAGAAGACTACTTACCTGAATTAAGTAGTGTATCTCGCGACTGACTGCCACTAAAAAGACGAAATATCTGCCACTTAAGAACTTATGTGTCTAGGATCGTATCGAAATTCACTCAGCAACCTTGTAGACATTCGTGCAGTAGATAATTAGCCATACGAATTGTGTGAGGGCCACTGATACTATCTGACTGTACAGGAGGGGTTTGAACCCGACTCTTTAGACCAATGAGTCACAACTTGACATAGAATCGTACTGCAGTTTATAATGGATGAGTTAAAAGTAGTAGCCATTGACACTCAATAGAATTTAGAAGTTGGAAAAATAGACACATTGCCAGTGTGAGGGTTTGAGAAATTCTAAAACTGCATCCTTGTTTTGTTAACCAATGGATCACACTTTTGTAAAATCAAACAAAAATTTACTCACTGTTTGGTTTAGCTGTTGTGTTTTGTAGTGCACCATCTTCCTAGGGGCCATACTATATGCAGATTTTGTTAATTAGCTGCAGTGCAACTTTTACACTTGGTATATATGGGGTTGCAACTATTATATCCTTGTGCATAATAATACTGTATTTTCATATATCTAAAGCTTTTATTAAAAATTTTTGTTCACTATTATTATTATTATTATTATTAGTCCCTTGGGTTCCTAGTGGAACATAGGGCTTCAGTAGCACGCCTCCAGTGACCTCTGTTCTCTGAGATCTTTTGAACCTGGCTCCAAGACAGCCCACAACCTCTCATTTCCTCCTCACACGACCTCCTCCATGTCACCCTCAACTGGGATGTCCAACTCGTCGCTTCCCATGGGGATTCCACTCGAGTAACTGGCCTGATGCGTGATGTCCCCAGTCGGCCTTCTCAGTGCATGGCCAATCCATCTCCACTTCCTCCTGCATATTTGTTGGGTGATAGGTTCTTAGTTGGTTCGTTCTCAGAGCTCCTTGTTGCTTATTTTTTCTGGCAATCCATCTGATCTTCAGCAGCGAGCCAGCGTAAGCAGTTGTTGATGAATGTCTGTAGTTTATTGGAAATGCCTTTCGTAACGCGCCAAGTCTCTGAACCATACAGGAGCACTGACTTGACTCGATTGGTGTTGAAAATCCGGATGTTGTTCCACATGCTGAGTGCAGTGTAGTAGATCTCCACACTGGTTTCAGGCTAATGAACGCCTGTCTTGCTGTCTTTCCGATTCTGACTTTGACATCCTCGTCTGTGCCTGTGCCGCCTGTAGTTGAAACAGTGCTTCCTACTAAGAAAATAATTAAAAACTTGAAACTAAAATAAAAGTTCAAAAATATCTAAACAAGGACGTCTTTTTGGGTTGTTCATTACCTTTTTCCTGTATTTGCCTCCCTTCTAACATTTATTTACTTTTTGTGAGCACGCTAATGCTCTTTATCTCTCCTTGTAGAATATAAGAAATGCGTTGGAAATCGGATACAGTTGGTCCCTGACGATGCTACTCGGGTCGTTCTGTGATTCTCTTTGTATCAATTTCCCCCTTGTACACTCCCGTATAGATTAAAGATCAATAGGGAAAAGTAGACGGAGGTTTCGGGTTATTTTCCACCACTGCGATAAGTGTTGCGTCCAGATGCAAAGTTCTCTTACCTCGTAGGTGGGCATAGTTGCACTAGCTTCGGAGCCCCCCGCGTCACCTACTCCATCACCAATATGGAAAGGTATTGTGTGTCCACCTCACAGTTGTCTTCTGGGATCAAAGGTTGCCGGTATCCCAGCAACCTTCTAGGAGGGGAATAACCTGTGGTGCACCTTCCTGGTACAAAAATGCAACTAGGGCTAAAATAAGCAGATTAAATTGAACCAGCTAAATATAAACTTCTAGCTTGCCTCCGACTGCTCAAGATGTTTTAAGTTTTGTTTTAACGAGCAGTCTTCGACATCATTTTAACTCGCTTTGTGCTGGTTAACACGCACATCTTAACAGTCCCTAGCTCAGCTGTAGTAGCCAGATATGTTGGATAAATTTTTCTTCTAATAATCACTATCTCATTTATTCTATTTAAATATATTGCTGCTTCTAATATATTCCTGAATACCAGTCCGTTTGATATGTGTCCGTCTACCAGTACTGACACGTTAGGTAAGGTACTGATTAAGTAGGTACTAGAGCATATCGGGTTAAGTAGGGTTGCGTTACGCAACAGCACCCCTACAGGTTACACATTTGTCTTAGGAGGAATTCATGTGGAAATACTTAAAATAATTAGTGGTTGGTTTGTAAACCTTACTTTGCCTAACCCAGCCTTAATGTACTTTATCGATAACCGAATACTGCCTTAATGAAATCAGCTGCTAAGGTAGAAGTTTTGGATTTCAATCTTGTTTCATGTTACTGTGTGGACAAGTGAAACCTGATTGGACAACTTTGTTCTTCAGCTGACCGATCAGGATAAGTATCCAATTTTCGATATACTGGCTTTAAATGCTGAGGAAAAACTGTATATAAATTATGTGTTTTTTGTCCGAAAAAGTTGTCTTTTTTATAGCCACGGACCGGTCTTCGTCTTCTGATTTTTGCAGCTCAGTGAAGCATCGGGTTTTAGGGAGGACGGTCGCTATTTGTATCCAGTTCAAGTGTTCCATTAAATCATTCGCATTCTCATGTTTTTTTTGTTCTATCAGGCACTTCCACTCAGTCACTTCAGATACCAAGAAGAAAATTTATCAAGAATGAAAAGGTTTTATTCAAAAAAACAAGTAACGACCACTAATTGGTCGGAAATATATAACATTCTGTTTGAGGGTTTTGGGGTATTTTATTAATTTCAACTTGATATTCATACCGGACTGACGTCAGTCAGAGAATCAAATCGCTTGAAACCTTGGAGTGCTGAATACCTGTTTTGTCCGCACTGTGACCCCACCTCACCGGGTAATCGAGCCAACGACCTTCAATTTCCTCGGTGAACACGTTACCACTGGGTCGAAATCCAATGGTTATAATCTTCCTACCTCTATCAATTCGAAACATAGCGCTATCTTCATCCAACCCTGTTGTTGAGTAACTGTCCTCCCCATCCCACTTGTCCCACCGGTTACGACTTCTCATTAGATTTTCAGGAAACCTCATCTTGAAGCAAGT